CACCTTTGAGTCTTACAGTAATAAATTTTGTATACCCTTTTCCTTGTTACTGCACACGTGCCCTTCTTACCCACGAAAGCTTATGCTCCCAGTACTTCTGTTAGTCTCAAAGGTGCCACAGGACCCTCTGTGACAATTTATGTTGACTTTCATGTGATTTGGGTATTTCTCACTTATCAGAAAGCAGCATCAGAATGTCTGTAAACAAAAATTTGATGTCATTGTGTAACAATTTCATCTCTCGCTGTACTTGTCAATGTAAAGTGGTGTAAACCTGACAATCATCGTACAAAATTTCTTGACAAAGCAATGGTTTATGCTGCTGTGCATTTCATATAGGCTACCCTTAAACTATGGCTTGGAAATATTTTAATGGACTAATCTTTTTTTCAGTGAAGGAATTAGAATGAGGTGACTTGTATTCTATTCTAGGCTCGGTTATTAACTTATCATGTGACTTTGGACAAGTTATTTCTGTAACATGGAAAAATATTTACTTTAATAAGAAAACGTATCAAGATCCTTGGATAGGAGGCATTAACTGAGAACAAAGTAACATGTGATTCTCTGAATATTCACAGAAGCCTTTCCAAATTTAAGTTTTCCAAATCTAAATTTTGAGTCCTGTCTGACACTTTTGAACTGGGACTAGCAGGTAATCCTGCATTCTGACTCTCCTCCGTTGTTTTCAGATGGAGGAACGGAAGACCTGCAGACCGACGTTGAAAAAGAATGTGCAGAGCTCTCACAGTTGTCCACAGATCTGCGTGCCAAGTTCTTAAAATCAATCATAGCCGTGATAATAAACAGCGACCTCTTGCAAGAACTCACACTCCAGGTAAAGCTCCTTTTTTCAGTCATTATGGGTTTAGAGACACACACCCTCCCCCCCCACTCGGAGTTCCTTCCTATCCTGTGACCATCTGTCAGTCCAGCACCTTCTGATCTGGCCCCCATCGCCATATAAGTAGATAACTAAACGCACAACCCCAGCCTTGCTCTGGAAGGAAGATAGACAGAATGACTTGGTAGGCCTCTTCCATCTAACTTCTATGAGTATCTTTTAAAAAGGAGCACAGATATTCCTACATCTGAATATGCCAATGGACCATTTCATCCAGTATCCTGTATCTTACAGCAGCAAATGTGAATATTCAACTCCCCTAATCCCCAGTTGTGCTACAGTAGATAGCTGAGGTTAGGAAAAATATGGTCATCCAACACCCCTTTCCTCCCAGCACAGTCAGATGCATACTTCAGTACATCACATGACCACGCTGGATTAGTTATCTCAGTAGCCTCCAACTCTCAGTCCTGAAGCTTTTTTTCCCCCTCCCCTAACCTGCAGCTAGAAGAGGCTTTTGAAGATGCTGATAAATGTGAGCTAAAGAGTGAGAATCCAGACTTGGAAGACTTGCTAAACAATTTACAGGATTCTGCAGGAAGCATACATCTTTACCTTGTTGGGCCAGTTCTCTACACTCTACACGCACTTGGTGGTAAGAATAAGTTCTGGGTATTTTAACGGGGGCACCCAACCACACCAGAATATAAGAAATGCGTCTGCCTATGAAGAACAGAATGAATGAGGAAGGCGAACTCGCATGGTTCAGACATTCCTTAGATTCTTGGCTGGGCAGGGTGCAGAGACTGCTGAGAATTTGGACTTGCTTTTGGCAGCCATTGCCAGCTAACACAGTGTACCATTTGCCAGATGTAGCATTGTGATGGAGTTTGCATCCCGTTATGGCATCCTATTGCGGCACCCATCTGGAAACACAATGCATTGGGGAACCAGAACATAGCCCACCGAGGACCTGAAACCTCAGCAAGAACCTGAGGAAGGGTGGTTAAGTAACAAGAGTGGGGGAATCAGGACTCTCTGGTTCTATTCAGTTTTGCCGCAGCTTGTTCTGTGACTTTGGGCAAGCCACTTCCTCCCTTGTCTGTGCCTCTGCTGCCCCATCTGTATAACGGGAATAGTAATTTCAACCACTCACCCCCTCACAAAGATAGTAAAACTTAATTTAGTCCAATTATTGAAGTGCTTTGAGATCATCAGAAGGGAGTGCAGACAACTGATGATTATACACCTGGGCTTGTCCACCCTCTGCACTTGCCCTCTCACCGCCCAGAAAGAAACCCTTCTCTCACATGATTTCTTCTTTTCCAGAGCTAACTGAGGATCAGTTACTGCGGCTGGCACAGTCTGTGCAGAAGCAGATTGTATCCGAACAGCTCGAGCTGGTGAGAGAGAACGCCAGTGAAATACAGCACCACACATCTCTCAATGAAGTCTTCCCTTTTGTGGTATTAAAGCAAAGCTATCAGGGCATAAGCAGCAACACCACAGCTTGAAGTGATGCAAGGAGGAAGGGTTACTACAAGCTTCAAACAAGGCCCGGATCATAACTGCCCACTTTCAGAGAGATCCACTAAAACACAGAGGCCCAAATTTTCTGACACTGAGGGCCACATGGCATCTACTCAGGAAGCCATGGGTGGCACCTAGATTGCAGATACAGGATATGCCTAAAAAACTGAACAGAAGCAACCCTACCAATTGTTGGAATTTTTATTCTCCTTAAGAGATGAACAGAAATTACTTTGTAATTTGAATTCAGCATGTTCTAGCTGTGCTGTTGCCCAGTGTAACGGGGTTGCACTCACCTCTCGTGAGCACCCCTTGCCCGAATGCTCTCTCTCTCTCTGTTTGTGGTGGGTCTTTGCTGATTCAGCCCACCGGCCAAGTCATACACAGTCCGTCTGTGAGATAAAAGCAAAGCAAACCCTTTTCGTGGTACAAGTCTAACAGGGCTTCTCTCAGTGCCCTCTATAATGTCTCTCTCAGTTTGTCCGGAATACAGCAGTGCCCCAAAGCTTCTTCGCTGGAGGCAGTGTCTTCGCCTTCCCAGGGCCTTTCTGGCCCCAACTCTTCAGCTGGGCCACTACAGTTCTGTTCCCGTTCTGGGGTGCCTCAAAGTCCAGGCTACTTTCCCAGTGGCTGGTGGCGGAGGGGGACCCAGGCCCACCCTCTACTCCAGGTCTCAGCCCAGGGACCCTATAGATAGCAGCCATCCATAACATCCCTTGAAAGAAACAGTGTTGCTGCTATAATTCCCTTAGCCACTTTCCCATGGCTCCCGCACATTCCTCACCCTTCCCTCAGGGCCTTGTCCTCGTAGAGTCCCAGCAGCCAGCCTAGAGCACCAGCCACTCTCCTCCTGCTCTAGCAATGAACTAAGCTTTCTCTGGCCCTGGAGCTCTTCTTATACTGCCCTGCTGGGCCCTGATTGGCTGCTTTCCACACAGCTGCTCTGGACAGCTTGGAGGACCTATCTACTGCCCTTTTCTGGGGCGGGGTGTGGCAGGGCCACAAGGCCTCCAGCAGGGGGCCTCAGGGCCCTAGTCGTCCCATCACACCCAGTTTTACCCTCACTCAGCAGTTACTGGGAGAACCTAGCTGTGGGTTGCATTTGTATGTCATGCTCCTGCTTTAAAGACAAAATACTCACTTTTAGGGAACAACTAATCCAGGAAAAATTGGAAATCAATAAGTGTTTATCATGATCTTAACAGAAAATAAGAATCTTAGTTCTAGTAATGCACATTTAACCACAGCACCTTTCACCTTGAAGGATCTCAGAGCACTTTGCAAACTGAAAGACAGAGATCATTTTTACATCCACTGCAGTGACTCCGGTTGAGTTCTGCGGGTGATTTCTGGCAGAGGCTTATTCCTGTAGCAGCCAGAGATTTAACATTCTGATTTTGCTTCTTTGTTGTTGCAAAGGTCAAGAGCATCTTGAAGCAAGATTTCCACCTGAAAGACGCTTTCACCCTGGATGCCAAGCTGGTCTCCTCCCTGCAAGAGGAGGAACTGAACATAACCAAGGCAATGATAGAGCTGGGTGGAGTAACACTGCAGAGAAATGGACCTTCTTTCACTGGGACTGGAGACCTGGCTGCTTTCTCAGCCCTCAGTGCATTGTATGTAGCCTTGTATGCTTTACATCTTCTGTCTAGATCAGAGTAGATAGGACACCTTTCCTCACATTAGAAGGGATGTCAATAGAAAGACTGAAAAAATATTTCCTGAGGTTGATTATGGGAAGTGAGTTTTTCTCTACAAAAAGTATCCCCAATTTTATCCACATCCACACACTGTAGCAACCTCACTTTGATCTGGATGAGACTCTCTTCATATCTCCTCAATGCTGCTTCTAGATCAGTAGGTGGGAGAAGGGGATTGTTGCAAGTTGCCTGGCAGCCAAAGGAAGCGAAAACCAGAACCAAGAATTAAAACAGGTTCTCTCACGAGAACCCATGGCCCAGAATGTCGTGAGCTTACCTGCCATATTTTGGCAGAACCGGCCAATGGGAGCTGGGGGGGGGGGCCTGCGGGCAAGAGGAGCTGGAGCTGCTGCTGGCCGCTTCAGGCGCAGCACGGTCCGCAGTGCCAGGACGGGCGGGAAACCTGTCTCTGGCACCCTGGCTGCGCCGCTGACTGGGAGCTGCTGGAGGTAAGTCCGTGCCCCAACCCCAATGTTACATTGCATATGGAAACATCGGGGGGCACAACTGCCTAGAGAACAGCCACTAATTATAACCTATAAGTAATGTAGTAAGCCCTCCCCCCTACTCTACTAGACAGCCTGGACCCAACCTTCTCGGGCCCACTGTAATGGGAAGTCTGGAACACTAATTGGAATAGGCATGGTATGCCCATACGAGAGAAGGTGCAGGGCACAGTACTACACAAGGGGCAGATGGAATATCAACACCTTCCATCTTGATTCCTTTCCCTATCAGGAAGTGTGTCGCCATATGTCCTATGCTTTTCCAGGGATACCTGGGCAGGAGGATCCCAAAAGAAAAGGAATGAAAAAAGGGGAGGTGGAGTGTTAGGATATAGATATTCAGGCCTATCTGTAAACGCCTATACTTTAAGAATGTAGGTATATGTTTATCACTTAGCTAGTTATAGAGGTATAAAAGAATCAAAATCACTGTCTGCCAGTGTCAGGGCCTTTTCTCACTGTGACAGTTTGAGGCCTTGTTCTTAAGCTAAGGCCTTTGGCTAAGCAGTGGGAGCAGCCATAAACTGGAAAGCATCATGTCGTCACACATTTCAAATCAGTCATATTGAACTCAGGCAATCTGGGGCTGTAAGAAAGGGGATCCGATCCATCCCCTCCAGAGAAAGGGAAGAGCCTAGAAGATGTAAAAGGAAATTTAGTTTGATAGTTTTCTGTTTGGTAAGAACTCACTAACCAATAGACATAGTTGGGAAACCCTTATGCCTTTAAAAAGCAGCAAAGAGTCCTGTGGCACCTTATAGACTAATAGATGTATTGGAGCATGAGTTTTCCTGGGTAAATATTCACTTCATCAGACGCATGCCTTGATAGATGTAGTTGTGAAATCCTCATTTCTGTATTGTTTTGTCATTATAGTTCCCACTTTGCTATTGTTTATTTGCATGGTCTGGTTCTGTGATTGTTTCTGTCTGCTGTATAATTAATTTGGCTGGGTGTAAACTGATTAAGGTGATGGGATATAATTGGTTAGCTAATCATGTTACAATAGGTTAGGATTAGGTACATTTCAGTAAAATGATTGGTTAAGGTATAGCTGAAAATATTAGTATATAAATTAGGGGCAAACAGGAGGTAAATGGGGATTTGAAAATAAGGGAAAAGGAACTTGGATTTAAGCTTGCTGGACGTTCACCCCAATAAACATCAAATTGTTTGCACCTTCGAAGTTCAGGTATTGTTGCTCTCTGTTCACACGAGAAGGATAGCATAAGGCCACATTAGGTCTAATATAAGTTAGCATAAGTAACCTTGGGTCAGAAGATTTAGCAATATGTATCTTGTGGTAGACTGTTAGACCACAAAGTAATAGTTCAGGTTTTATCTAGCCAGATTTTGGTACTTTCCTAACAGCATTGCATAAAGAAGCATGGCAATTCCTAGTAGCACAAACGCTTGCGACAACCGTTGAACCCCAAAACCAGATAGCAGTAATAACAAACATGGACAAGAGGCCAATACTTAATCAAATATGGTCTCAGAAATAGGTGGGTGTAAGAAATGGGTGGTGTGAGTAATAAGTGCATAAAAAGTAACCAAACATGACCCTCAGCAGGTCCTTAGGATGACAGGATGTTGGCAACCTTCACATTTATCTCACCTTAATGGAAACTCACAGCCCTGAGGATTTGAGAGTGTATACACGATGCAAATTCTGTCATCTTTATCCTGTTTTTCTAGTTCTGATAAGGTGGGTGAGGTAATATCTTTTATTGGATCAACTTCTGTTGGTGAAAGAGACAACCTTTCGAGCTACAGAGAGTTCTCCTCCTGAAGAAGAGCTCTGTGTAGCTTGAAAGCTTTTCTCCTTCACCCACCAAAGTTGGTCCAATAAAAGATATTTATTACCTGACCCACCTTGTCTCTCTGATATCCTGGGACAAACACAGCTACAACCCTACAATTTTCTAGTTCTGTAATTTTGATTATGGTATTAATAAAATTCAATGTCTCTGTGTGTGTCACCAATCATCTTCTTCACACTTAATCTTTAAGTAGCTGCCAAAAAACGAACCTGTTATTAGTAACAAGTGCATTTTGCACCCCAAATTAATCATAAGGCAACAAAGGCCAAACAAACTGACCTTTAAATAATGCTCAATAAAGACAGGCTTTGTCTGTGTTTCTACTACTCTTTGAAAACCTTCTTAGTTACTTTTACATTCTATATCCTCCTCCTTTTTGTACTGCACTGGTGGTGGTTGGGTTTGGGGATTTTTTATGGCTGGAGTGGGTTTTTTTGACTGTTTGTATAGCAGGGAGCCCTGATCCTGACTGGAGCCTCTGGACACTGCTACAATACAAATAAAAACAATCCCTTTCTGTAGGTTTATGGCAGATGTTTTTAAACACACGTATCTATTCACTGATAAGCTGAGCAATTCAAAATATTTTCTTAATGTTAGATTACTTCTGTATTCCAGGTACTTTACGCCTGTCTAATCATATGTTGCACTCCTTCCGAGACCCCTGGGAATATTGTGAAGAAGAGGGCCTGAGGTCCCTGGGGGGTGAATTCAAGTCTGTTGTATAAAGCACCCCATGGGCTTGTCTACCCTAGAAAGTTTCACCACATTAACTATACCCATAAAGTTAAAGGAGCAAACCCTTCCCTAGTTTGGGCAGTTATACCAGTATTAAAGGGCCTACACTGTGTAGTCTATTCTGGTTTGGGAAGTGAAATTTGCTATACCATTATTGAGAACCTTTATACTGATATAACTGTCTACACAAGCACTTACATTGGTATAACAATATTGGTTTACAAAGTCACACTTCTAACCACATGGTTATACTGGCATAACTTTTCTAACATAGATCAGGCCATATTTACAATATGCCATGACACATGGGCAGAAGCTGTGATCAAAGCTCCACAAGACCATAAGGAGTGTTAACACTGATATTGTGGCTTTTGGCATGGGGGTGACTTGCTACTCTGCATCCCCTCACTCCAGCACCAGCCCAGGCCAGGAAAAATTGGGACTCCAACCCAATTAGGATGTTAAGGCCAAGACTATAACAGGGTTCAAAAAAGAACTAGATAAGTTCACGGAGGATAGGTACATCAATAAAAAGCAACGGAGAGTCCTGTGGCACCTTTAAGACTAACAGATGTATTGGAGAAGCACAAGCTTTCATGGGTGAATGCCGACAAAGTGGGCATTCACCCACGAAAGCTTATGCTTCAATACATCTGTTAGTCTTAAAGGTGCCACAGGAC